GAGTCCGGGGGCGGCGGCCGTCGAGGGGCTGCCGGGGGCTGGGGGGGGGGGGGGACACGGCCTGCGGCCGCTCGTAAGAGACGGCGATCTGTTGCGGCCTGTTTTTTCAGAAGCGCCGTGCGTGCCGGGCTTCCTTGCGATGGAAGCAGATAAGCTTATTGATCAGATGACTTTGGATGTTGAACTTGTTGGTACCACAGTACTTTGGATCACATAGCATACAGAATGCTAAGTGGGACTTGATCTCATCCGTGATGTTAAGAGTTAACGCAGTTATCTATTGTATTTTTCTTGGTTTCCGTAGTGTACTTTTTCAGTTCTTTTTCCCAAAAATAGGATGCTGGACCTGTTCTTGCTTCCTGACGCTAGTGCTGACTTGCTATGTATTTGACATAGTAGCTTAAGTACACAGTTCTATAGATTTGAGCTTGTGGCATGCTGATTTCACTGTGTCTCTACAAACATATGTCAGAGTTCAAGTTGAGAAGATTAATGTCTGCAACAACATCTGTATGTTACTAATGCAACATATACAATTCATATAGTATAGCTATGCTCCATACATGTTTCAGCGATCAATGGATATTTTTTATCGCTAGTTCAATGCAGCCTCTACACAATACAGTGTAATGATAGAGAATAACAAAGTGTGATTCCCTTCCCTGCCATTACTTCCTCAGCAGTAAGACAGTGCTTGCCTTCTATATGTGGCGTGTTCTGGAGGAATTCCTTCTTCTTTTGTCAGCTTTTCTTCCCCCTCCCCCCCCCTTTGGGTTTTTTACTTGAGCAAGATTCTTCTGCTATGACATAGTCCCCCTCTGATCATCTCTCCTTAACAAGTTTTTCTTACCTCTTGAGTCCCATTTGAATGCTGTGGGCCATATCTATGATTTAGAGCAATTTTCTGAGAACTTTCAAAGCTGGACAATAAGTGTAACAGGGCATGGGTCTTGTTTTGTGGTGAAACTGTGATTTTGAAATTGTTACATTTGTGTCAGTATATTGTTTATTGAGCTGTTATATTTTGCTTTTCAGCAGAACTAGCTGAGAAATGGTGCAGCCATGCTTTCAAAGTTAGCTTTGTTGGTATTTGCTTGTGGGTCTAGGCATGCCCCAATGCATGAGGGGCTTTTGGAAGGCTTTTTAGGTTTTGGAGTCTTCAGACCCTGTTTTTAATACCTGTAGTACTGTGAAGTAGTCTTGTCTACTTCACAGGAACTTTTCTGATCTCCACATGCTAGACTTGTGAAGAAGCTGTTCTCAGGTGCTCCTGTTTAAAGGGATGTAAATATTTAAAGAGTATCGATTGTCTCTGCTCTGGAAGAAATCTGATCCATTTCTGACATTGAACGATGGCAGTTTCATACAAAGACATCCCTGGATACAGCAATTTAATAAGATCAGGAGGAGTTCTCAGTTCCTACCTAGTCAATTATCTAGACCATCATAAGAGCAAATGTTTGTTAGGGGCAGTTCCTCTCCTTCTTTTTTCTGTTTCCATTTTTATTTATCTATAATAACTTTTTCCAAAGTCTCCATTTTCTTATCATCTTCAATTATTTAGTTCTCTGATTAATTAAAGTTAGTTTGGTTTTAAGCTAGTTGTAGTTTAAAATGTGAAAGGAATATTGTTGTAAAAACACTTAAAACTTTGAGAAACAAGGTGTAGCAAACTTATGGCAATTCAAAGTATTACTACTCACAGTTAATCTGCTCATAGAGCCAAGTTTGCAGTAGGAAACATGTCTACATGTCAGCTACTCTGATTGAGACCAGTTGTTTTCAGCTTAAGCTGCTGATAAAAATTGGAGCTATGATGACTTGAGCCTTTGAGGTGAAGGCGCTGAGGTGATGGTGCACATTATTTCTGTAAGGCTGTGATAACCTTTGGAAGAGATTGGCATCCTAACAGGGAGGTAATGGCTTTGAACTATCACAGTAGAATTGACTGAAACTTGCCTGTGAAAGGCCTTTATTAGAACGTTTTTATTCTACTGTTCTTTGCAGTAGGATTTCTGTAGCTGAAATAACTAAGGTGTCTTAAAGTCTGTTTCTTTGTGTATTTGACTGCGTGACTTGTGTAAGCTTTCCTGTTTTATATGTACGAGTGTATACAAAGTCATAAGAATACGCACAGTCATTTCCTACTGTTCTGTGGAGCAACATTAGAACATAGAATATTCTATTTTCTTCTTCCTCTTGCTAGAAGAGCAGAAAGCAAGGTTGTAAAATGATGGAAGTGCTGCTTTTTAATTTAGTGACAATTACTAGATTTTAAGTTGTCGTTCCTCAGACCACTCACTAGGAAGCTCAGGTTGCTTGTTATGGCATCTTTTCTTCTAGAAGAAACTGACAGTAAATGAATATGCTTAGCAAGTAGGGCATTCTTTGTTCGCTTTCAATGTCCTGTCCAGATCTTTACCTAAATTGAAAGATTCCTTATAAATGCCTCCTCCCTCATCCTTTGCTTCCTGTTGGGTTCTTAGGCCTTATCTGCACTTGAAATTAGCCCTTGTTTTCAGTCTGTAGACTAAAAACTGCAGAGCTGTAGGATGTTTTAGCTAGGCAAGCACTAGAATATCATAGCTTGATATGTCTTACTGCTATAACTGGCAGATTTCCTTATATACAATGGTCTTGCATTGTTATTTTGTATGGTGGTATTGCTGCCCAGAAATGTAAAATGAGGACTAGGTTCTGCTGTAAGTGAAGTGTGAGAGGACGGAAAAGGGAAAAGCACAGTGAGACTATCATGAAGCCGATTGAGCCGACAGACGTTGAATAGATAGGCTGCTGCTAAGGAAATGTTTTGTCTTGATCACGCATAGGGGCTAACTATGTGTTTTATTTTTGTTTTTTTCTTCTTCGTCTTTTTCTTCTTCTTGTTAGCAGTGGCAAGTCAACATCTGAGCTTCTGCAGTCTCTCCACCTGTCTCCCTGGGTTGTCCCGGCCTGTCCACACTTGTTTCTGTAGCTTTTGTGGCTCTGGATGGCTAGTGAAGAGGGATGTTCAGTCTAATGGCCAATTGCTGCAACTGGTTAAAACGGTGGCAGGAACCTGTCAGGTAAGCACATGGAAGTATTTTACATTTCTGTGCTGACCTTCTTCTGAAACTGTATTTCATGTCCTCTCATCCATGTGTTCTTGTCTTGAATGCTAGAAAAGGTTACGTTTTGCAGAATGTGCTGTTGTTCAAATAAGTATATTGGATTAAATAGCTTTTTGACACCGTTAATATATTATAGGTCATTGCGAGTTCATTAAATGCTCATGGCTGTTCTGGCTGTAGCTTGCTGTTAAAGTGCAATTTACTATGATCCTGCTGTTCATTCTCAGGCTCTTTTTTTCTGAGCTTTTTGGCTCTTCTGAAAGAAGTTGCATGAATTGTACTTCATGTACGATGCTATTATAGTTTTAAGACTGGAGATAACCATGTTTTTTAGTATTCCTTCACTTAAAGGAGCTTGAGTGAACATAAAGTTGAGCAGATTCCTTTGACTCCTTGCGAATTGGAGGAATGACTGAAATACAGATATCTTATTGCTTTGCTCATAATCCTATCCTATCCTACAAATTCTAGCCTGTACACCAATTTGAGGAACTACCATATATTACAATGGCAGTGCCATATGTTACTGATGGTGCAACACCATCAGTTGTGCATTCGCAGCCTGTATTGGTCCTGCTTGAAACAAAGGCATCATGAGTGTTTCTGCCACTTAGCTTGTAGTGGCTTATGCTGTCTACACAAGTGTTGTATATTGTATAGCGTTGTTCAGCTGCAATGGTTGAGATAGGAATACAGTCCTAGTATAGGCAAGACCAAAGATCTGTCTGTTTGATTCAGAGAGAGGAAAAAATACAGGAGAAGGGAAAGAAAATTAAAGAAAATTATTAAAGGGATCACAACCATACCAAAAAAAGGATAAAATATACAATAGCCTAAAATTAAATTTCAGTAGGTGAATACAAGTTAAAAGCAAAATCTTGCTGTGCTATGAGATTCACATGAGAATGAGACTTCTTATTTCATTCATTTTTCTTCTGTTCTGTCTAATAAGATGGTTTGACATACCGAATACCAGATACGCAAGCGTTAACAATGCCTGGTACTTGGTATGTGAAAACCTATTCATTCTGCTACTTTATGGTAAATTTACTATGCATGTATTCAAAAACTTAATAAAATAAGTGATGTTTAGCTAGAGGAAAAAAATTGGAATAAATATATGTATTTTTTCCTTTTGGAGGAAGGTGACCCTAATCATGGTGGGTCTTGATAATGCTGGCAAAACTGCTACAGTTCGAGGAATTCAAGGAGGTAAGCAATAAATTTTTATCACCTAATGCGACCATTTAAGGAGAGAGTAGAATTACTCAGTTTCCACCATTTTCATCTAATCTCTTAATTTATCTCTTGCTCCCATATTGTTGCAAGAAAATTTTTGAGAAGGTATTCTGCTCTAAGAGTCTAGTAGCAAAAGTGAGCGCATCACAGGCTCCGTTGTGTGATGACTTGCAGATGAGTGTAAAACTAAGGGGTCTGACTGTGAAAACATAAGGATCCTAGTGCTGGGATCCTGATTCTTGATATCTGGCAGGTCATGCTAGGGAGATTTAAAAAATAGGTGCCCCTGGTAGTGCGCTTTATGTACAGGAGAAGCAGCAGAATAATCTCTGTGTTTGCTCATTGGCCTCTGCAGTTAACATCATGTTGAACTAACGTAGGCTGAAATCAAGGGTAGTTTAACCCACCAGCAGCATTTGAACGAAGCTGTTACCACTCTTTTGCATGTTTTCCAAGAGTGATAGCCAATGCATAGGGGCAAGGTGGATGGTGTGGTGGGAGCTGCCTCCTAAGTCATTCTGGTATGCACCATTAGAGCCCTTAGTCCACTGCGACAGAAAAGGTTAGGAGGCGGAGGGGTGTCTAGTGATCTTGCAAACTTGAAGAGAAAGCGTTCAGAATGTCTTAGTGCCTGTGTGCCTTGAATTCACCATTGTATTGTTGAGTGCGCAGTACTCTCATTTGTAGCAAAATGTGCTCTCGGTAAGAGGTTCATTTTTGGATTGCATTGGCATCATAGCATGTTTTTAGACTGGAGAAAATTTTTTTTCAATAGTTCAGTAAATAGCTGAAGGAACATTCTAACATTTTAACTACAGAAAGCAATTGATGGAGAAGGAAGGCTTTTAAGTGAGAGAAGATGTAGGAAAAAAAACTCTGTAAGCTGTAGATGACATTATAATCCATAATTAGTTTGAAGTAATGCAGTGATACAAAGTATTTCTTCCAGTCAATGAAGTATTTCACTTCTTAGCATAAAAAAGAGAAATCAATGGACCTGATTTTTGTGCAGAAATTGCTTTTAAGTGACCATCCAGTAATGTACATGTGTCAAGAAGCTATATATAGAATCAATGTTGTAAGTATGTATAATTAGGAAAAGATCCCACAGAAGGAAATTTCATATGTGTGCACATAATGTAAAGCATGGTTCTAATGAATTATATTTTATAATCATTGCTTATAACCGGAGAAGCACCAGCAGTTTTCTGTATGCTTTCTTCAGCAAGGAACTGCTTGAGCTTGGAGGGTATTTTGCCTTGTCTCTCTCTAGTGACACATGCAAGCAGCACATAATTTGATTGACATACATTTAGTGCTTATAAAAACAAATATTCACTATGTTTTTTTTTTTTCTTTATGAGATTGCAGGAAGTCTTTCTAAATAAATTCTGTATTGTGAAACAGCAAGGGAATACTAGGAAGTGTTTTGACAGGTTTAAAGACTGACAGTCCACCTTGACTTTCTGTTTATGCTTGTTATGTAAGTTCACTGACTTACAAAAGTATGAATAAAGTTACGAATATTCTCCCATTTGTATTCCAGAATATTTTCCTTGAAAACATGAGTACTTTAATATGTAGTTTTTCACTGTGTTTCAAGATGGATTTTATTGATTTTTATCATCTGTAAATGACAGTGTTTTTTTCTCAAAGTTTGCTAGAAGGACATTCTTTTGGAAAAATGGGACAAAGATGCATATGATATTTCTAATGGGAAATTCCAGGAAAAAATGATTCTGACTTCTGTGACTGTTTCCCATGGCTCTGTACCATAGCTTGAGTAGTGCTCGCTCTACAAAGCAAATTTTTTTCGTTTTTTCCTGGGTTGATAAAAGCTATATACTTAGCTGTGTAACAGCCGTACAGCCTATGGGAGGAGAGTGCAGTTACGATTAGTGGATTTTAGCAGAAAACCATTCCAGATGTATTTTGGTTCTTAGGTCTCTTGAAACCTGGGCAGATCAGTATAGTCGCCAAAGTCTCATTTGCCAAAATAGATCTGCACCTACTACAGCAAGCTGTGCTTTTACAATGAAGGCTGTTCATTATTTTTGGAAACCTAACAGTATAATAGGACCAAATGTTTCAACAGTATCACCTTAAATTCACTATCTTCAGTAACTGTTCCTTTGGCCCTTAACAAACCATCATATTCTCATTGTTCTCTCTTGTGCGAGCACATATGTATGGCTCACAGCGCAAAAAGATTCTTCAAAATGAAGTCTGCTTAGTTTTGAAGCTGGAATCCCCATTCTCTTGCTGGAGTCATGGCTTATATTGTTCTGGACAAGTAGTCTGTTCTGAATCTCCATCTCTGGTGGAACAAGGATTTCCCCCAAAAGTGTGGCAGTGGCTTGCTGTTGGTGATTTAGCTTCCATATTGCTTTTCAGGTTGCTCTGTGCTTGTGACCACACTTCAGTTCTTGTTCTCTACAAGCTGAATTCTATGTCTGGTTCTCTGACCTTGTACTGCCAAGCTCCGTGAAACAGTTGCAGAAATCCAATTAACTCAGCCCTGTAGAGACAACTCAGTAGTATGAGGCAGATGCAGGGCTTTTTTTGCCAGATGGAGAGGGAGACAGCAAGCAAAAGTGTTAATATACAGCTGTAGCAAAAAGCATTTTGCAAAATACAGCTGCAGCAAAAAAGCATTTTGTTTGGCAAAGTCAAAAAAAAAAAAAAAAGTAAAACCCCAGACCCTAAATTAAGGGAATGAAGTGGTTTACGCCTCATAAGAGTGTGATTTCAGACACTGCAAACGCTGATCAGGCATTCACTTCATCTCAGCCCTTGCTTTGAACATTTAAAGCAGTTTTGGCAATTATGAGTACTAAATGTAAGGATTTCTCTTTTTTGTTGGGGGGTGGGGGAGTGAAGAACAATTTTGGCAGAACGTGAGGCACCCCAGATCGTAATGCATTGTGTTTTGTTTGTATTGTTTCTCAAACTTACATTAATATCACACCAATGTGTTTTTTGTTCCAGCTGTGTTTTTAATGTTTAAAGCCATAATTGATGTGAATTGCAGTTTTTTTAATTCTTTTTTTCTTTTCCTGGTGCTCCTACTTAACTGAATGGAAAATAACAAATATTATTTGTGGAGAGGGAAAATGTTAATGTAAAATATGTGCTGAGCAATATGTCATCACTTAAGGGGGAGTTACCCCTTGCCTTTGCAACATAGATTTTGCTACACAAATCACAATGTAAAATCCTCTTTAAGTCCCCAAGGAAACTTTTTACTGAAGGTTTTCTTGTTTGAACTCTGACAGAGTCTCCTGAAGACGTAGCTCCGACGGTTGGGTTTTCAAAGATTGACCTTAAACAGGGACGATTTGAAGTCACCATCTTTGATTTAGGAGGTGGAAAACGAATTCGAAACATCTGGAGGAATTACTACGCAGAATCCTTTGGTGTGATATTTGTTGTGGATTCCAGTGACGTAGCGAGAATGGAAGAAACAAAGCAAGCCATGATAGAAGTTTTAAACAGCCCTAAGATATCGGGGAAACCCATGTTAGTGTAAGTAATGTTAGTAAATGTCCTAATAATCTGAAATTTAGTCAATTTTGCGTTTCAATAATCATACTGAATAAGGATTTATGTATAGTATAAATAAGTATACAATACTTTGATAGCATGGTAGTTTTAGCACTAAATAATATTATATTTTGTGTTTTACTGTATTTATGAAATATTTATTTTCTTTAATCTTAATATGATGTTAGCCAACAAAATCTTTTCTTTCCTTCTTCCCTTTTCCTTTCCCTCTTTAGTTGCATGTGGTGATATACTAATTCATTCTCTATCTGACATTAGATCTTCTTATTTAGCCCTTTTCAGAGATGTGTCAGTAGCAGTGGAAAAATAATAAGAAAGTTTTTTATAAATCTTAAGATTTTAATGTTCCTTCAAACAGGATGCTAGATGAGAGACTGTGCAAGTTTGACGTGACAGCTTTGTGTAAAAAATGTTCTTACTATTTAGGCCTACATTAATTCCATAAACTGTAATAACTGTTATATTCTGCAATACTAGTTAAACTCTTGGCAATGTAAAACATCTTGTTCACCCAGCACATGGTGGTGCTACTGATACACGATCAGCGAAATCCCATTAAAGAAAGCTTACTTTAATAGTAATAATTTAATAATTCGCTTTTGCTTCAGTGCATGTGTTTAATTAAAAAAAAAAAGTGTAAGGTTTCAGAAGATATGATTTTTTTTCCCACAAAACAGTTATAAAATTCATAAATTTCTATGCTTAAAACCTAGTTTTTGGAAAATATCATAAATTGCAGCATATTTTTTTAAATCCAGCTATGAACAAATCATCGAGAACAAATTTCCTTTTAAAGCTACAAAATAAAATCTAAAAGTAGCAAATGGTTTGTCAGAGCGATCTCTTTGTGTGGTGGGCATAAGATATTCCTGATTCAGTAATTATACAATGTTTCAGTAATACTATTAAGAATCTCTGCTTATAGTTGGGAGGAGAGCTCTCTTAAGGAGTAACGAGGATGCTCTGGTGGTTTGAGGTTGGAGAGTGAAATTGCCTAATCTGCTTTGATCAAATGGAGTGTAGTTCAGAAAGCTAATGTTGAAAAATAGATTAGATTTTAACTTCCATTGCTGTTTGAATGTTAGTGACATAAGGGAGGCAATACAACTATGTTACTGCAGGTAGTTTAACTTAAATCTGTTCTTCTGAAAATGAAATTGTGACAGTTGACAACTCTGCAGTGTTTCTAAATAATTTTTTTCGTAAAAAACTGTATGTCTTAATGCTGTAAGAGTGCTTCTGTGGGTGGTTGGTTGTACTTGCACAGAGGCTGCTCGCTTCCCTGGGACTTAATCCTGCTTTTCAGTCCATGCCAGTATCTGCTCAGAAGGCAGAGTGTATTAACCGAATCTAATAGTGACTAAATTAGGTTCATTGAGGTTATTGCCTTCAAATTTATTGAGCCTCAAGCCCTCAACAGAATTTGTTCTTCTAGTGTCCCACTTCTGCAAAGCAATTCAGTAGTTCATAGTCTCATGCTCCCTATATGAGTCTGCATCTCAGGTTATGTATTCTTTAGTGAGATTGTCTTTGTTTCCTGTTTGATGTCTGTGTTCATTGTGTAGCTGCTGCACCCCTGGTCCCTTCAGATTTCATAAATCCTAGAACTTGCTCCAGTGTTTGAAGGATATTTTATACTGTGCAGCCTGCAAGTTGTGAAACTAGAGGGCTTGGTCAATAAGCAGTAGTATTTGTGGTATGGAAATACAGTGCTTAGCAAATGAGATGAAACTGGTCCCATGCACCTTGCATTGCCTGAAGATGACTTCGGGGGATGGACATCCATGTCACTCATACTCACCAAATAAGAGTCCCATCGCGTGCATGTGTGTGTATATGTATATGTGGGGGGAAAATATATATAAAAATTTTTCCTTAATGGATCTCTAAAAATGAAAAAGTATTAAGAGTAGAACAAAGGAAACGGCAGATTTCCAAAACTGTTGTGAAAGTTCTCCTTTTCTAGTATTTCCCTCTTCTAAGGAGGTTCAGCTTTTTTGTTGCTGTTGTTTATTATTTGCGTATACCTGACAGAAGAAACATTACTTTGTTTGAAAAATATCATTTAATGAGAAATAGCGAGCATAAAAATAAAATAATGAAATAAGTAGTGAGCATAAATAATAATGTCCAAAACTTGGTGTCCATGTAGCAAAAAATTGCCTCAATTCTTGCTAAACTTCTAATTTAGTACATTTAGGGTTTGTGCATGCACGTAGAAAGGCCAGTTTGTGCATGCATGTAGGAAGGCTGGTGTTTGTTACAAACAATGCAGTCATCTCTCAATACTTTAAATCCAGAAAAGTTGTAGTAAGGTTTATGTAAGTCACTTCTTTAATATTTACCATATTAAAAACTAATAAAGGGAACTAAGTCATAGCTCCCCCCTGTTCATTTCTTTGGAGAGGTTGTGCGCTAAAGAATGATGAAGGCTGTACTGGTGACTTGACCAGAAATGAAACAAACAAATGTTCATGTTTCTTTTTAAGGATAGGTGGAGATAACGTACTGAAATTTCAATAGTCAGCTCTGAATTTTAGTCTAGTGTTATTTATCCTAACTTGTGCTATGTGTAGTATCTTGTACAATGAAGGGTATGCAAGTATACTCTAAAAATGGATGAAAGACTTTCTGGATTTCAAAGGCAACAACAGAACTGCTGTATATGCAGCTTTAGATGTACCTAACACCTTCCTGTCCTTTACCCTGCTGGTCTTTTCTTAAACCTCTGGTGGATACACAGCAAGAAGATAGTTTCCTTTTTTTTCCCATTTTCTTTTGTATTTCTGGGCTTTCATCTATTTGGAAAAAACTAATTTTGCCAGTTGGATCAGGAGAAATCAAAGCTTTACGGCTGGTAGCTAAGATATAACCTTAAAATATACCACTGCTCAGTAGATAGACAAACAATATCTTAAGTCCTCCCTCTACTTCCTTTTTTTTGTTCTTTTCCCTATTACATTTAACTCATGTACTCATAGAAGAAACAGTCCAACTATCAGGTTATCAATACTGTGTTTGTGGCTCTGCTCTGTAATATTCTACATTTTCTTTATACCAGCTAATAAAGGTTGCATCAGAAAAGAATGATGGAGTGGTAGCATTCGTAAGGAGGCAAGAATTTGTCTCCGGACCAGAATTCTAATCTTTCAGAAATCTCCTCTGTGTTTTTAATATAGGTAGTTTTCTCCCTAATCTATGTTCGTGGACTATCTCAGCAGATGGATGTAAAAGCAAAACTGGAAATAGAAATTCTAGGCTATATCAGGTAAATAAAGGCCTACTAGAGCTTTTTTCCTGTTTCACTTGTAGAGTTGCTGATGTTTTGAAAATTAGGAATTGAATTCAGGAGAATGCTGTTGTTGAATGTTTTTAGAAAATTAATTATTAAATAATGATTCTAAAAGGGAATGAAATACAATTTATGTTATTCTGTACTAATGAATAAACACATTCCCATATATACTCATCTATTCTTGCATACTCTGTACTCTCTCACTTGTTCCTGAAGTCTTCTCCTCCTCCTCCTTTCTTCCTCTATTCAGCATGATTTCTCTGGCTGGGTAAGTGGTAGCACATGCTGTGTGTGGTTGCAGTGCAACACCCAAGCTAATTACTCAGCTGTCTGTTGCCTTTCAGAACAGGTTAGGTGAGGGAATTAAACCTAGTTTTGGTCTTTCACTTCTATCCGTATCAATTTGATATAGCTCAGTAGTGTGGTTATCGTAGGAGCTAACTGTCCTTGCAAAAAAGGTGTAAAAATGTAGTTGAAAATTCCTTTTTTCTACTCGGGTAAGCAAATTTTGATATAACGCATCAGGCAAATTATATGTTGAATCATAAGGTTCCTTTATCTAAATACATATTTTTTAATTTTTCAAGATTAAAGAAAGAAAAACATATTCTAATTTAGATACTTGGATGAGGGTTTTTCATATAAAAAGATCTTGTTGTTTATAACTGTGGGGTATGGTTCATGAAAGTAAATAAATTTCTGCTAGTAGCATTTAAATTAAACTGCTCTGCAGCTTTTCTTAAGCTGCTGCAATGTGATGACAGGTTTGTCCACTGCTTTATATATATTCAGTCGCTTTCAATATGTTCTCATTTGCTGCTACCAAGATATAGAGTTATTTAAAACAAAACAAAACCAACCAAAAAAACCCCCAACAACGGGAACAAAAAGTAACTTCAGCTGTGATGCAGTTAACAGTCACCAAGAAAGCCTGGGAGTCTTTGGCGTGAAGTCCTTATCTAAAGTACGTTAACGGGTTTTTTTTCCCCCCCATTTTCGAAAATCATCTCCAAAAAAACAGCTATGAAACAGCAGAGTAATTATGTGGTAATTTAATTTAATCCCCCCTCCTTTTTTGTGTGTGTTCTTTTGGGGCAGGTGTTGTTGTTCCTTGGGTGCTGGCACCACAATGAGCTGTACTACGTGTGTGCTTGCTGACTTGCCCTTCTTGGAGGGCCGCGGCTGGGTATCTCCCTCTTCCCAACGTGTGTATATGTAACTGTGTAGTTTGGTCGGATAGTATGAATGGAGACCGTACCACCTTTGGCCCCTACTAATCAGGAGTAGTCTCTAACACTTTCTCAGCAGGTCTTGCACACTACATGCCTGTGTCCCAAAACTTTAAGTATGTGCCCTCCCTATGAAAAAGGCTTTCATGAGATATATTGCGCCTCTGATTATTGTGGGCACTTTGAATTAAAAAATTATCTATATTTTATATACATATATATATAAGTCCCAAGGCCAGAGGGATGTCACACGTGGCCCACAGAAGACTGAGAATAAGTGCAGTGTAGTGTGGATGTGAGGAGTCCTCTCCAGAAGTTGTTAACCCTGAGCAGTGTAGACAGAAGCCAGTCTACCTTGCTTGATCATGGTGCCAGGGCTTGCCCTCTGGCATTGCCCACAAAGACAGTGGGCTTGTAATTTATCACCTAGGTGAGCA